CCACTTCAGTATATCACAAGTTCATATCGAATCATACAATGATGCTCTCGTTCTATCAGATGCCCCTTTGATCTCAAAGCCACTCAGCCTCCAGATGTAAATTCCAAATCCAGATGACACAACATCTCTGATAAACACCCTCCAAACCCACACAGGCCAGTGGCAGGCAGACACTTCAGTGTTGTTTTGAAGGAAACAGCTAAAAATTCCTGTGGCTGCCTGCAGGGCCCTCCCACCCCCCTGTGAGGGCGCAGCTCCCCTCTACCCCACCCGCGCCCCAGCCTGTTGTGTTGAGGGCCCTTTGGTGGAGCCGCCCGCCCCTGGAGCCGGCCCCCAGCCTGCTACACATGTGTCTGTGTTACTGGCCCATAACGTGGATCGGTCACATCTGAAACTGTTTAGCGGCTGAAACAGAGACCCTACTTCAAAGCCGCCGAGGTTCCAGACAGACGCGCGGGCGGCTCCCTTGAAGTCAGACTCCACTCGCCGGCCACCGACCACAGGAAGGGGCGGGGCCTTTCTTAGCTTTTTCTTAATAAAGAAAACACAAGGTCCCTCCCTGAACCCCCAGCTTGGGGTAGATGCACCCCGAGCGCCCTGTTCTGAAGTCCCCGTGTTGGCTGGCCTGGGGTCCTGAGCTCTCTCCCCTGCCCTCCTGCAGCTGTGACCCCCACCTTCGTCTCCTGGGGTCCTGTTCTCTCCTGTGGCTCCTTGTATGCTGTGCCCTGGACTGGCTTCACCCTTGTCTTCCCGGGGGGCTTATGACCCCAGCTCCCCAGTTCTCCCTGAGCACCAGACCCCACCCAGCTAACCACAGACACCCCACGTACCCCAGACCCATGTTACCTTTGCCGGTTTGCAGAAGTCCTGGTCCCAAGATGTATGACAACTCTTGTTAGTTGTGGCCCCCTGGCAACCCCACACACAGCAGAATGAAAGATTGCTTGCACCATCGTGGTTGGTCTGCCCGATCCTACTGTGTGGCCTTCCTACCAGGCGGCTCCTGGGCCAGCACTCTACCAAATGGTATTATGTTGTCAGCTGTAAATATCTCATTGGGTTATTTTTGCCAGGTCTTTCTTCCTGGTCTTAGTCTGGAAGCTGTGCTGAAACCTGCCCAGCATGGAGGACCCTGGGGGTATTTGAAGTATTGATGATGTAGCTTCCAGAGACACAGCAGCACGAAGCCACCACAGCAGGACAGACTGACAGAGGAGTGGCGCCACCTTCTGTAGAGATGATTCTGTTCAAGTAATGCTCCTGGGTGTGTTGAGCCTGGGCAGCCCTCCTCCATGTGTGTTGAGCCTGGACATCCCTCTCCCACATGTGTTGGCTCTGGGCACCCCTCCCCCGTGTGTGTTGAGCCTGGATACCCCTCCTCCATGTGTGTTGAGCCTGGACATCCCTCTCCCACATGTGTTGGCTCTGGGCACCCCTCCCCCGTGTGTGTTGAGCCTGGATACCCCTCCTCCATGTGTGTTGACTCTGGGCACCCCTCCCCCACATGTGTTGAGCCTGTGGACAGCTTTGAGGTAGAGAAGCCGTGTAGGGACTGACTCCGCTACCCCTCGGGCCACACTGCTTTTCCTAAGGAGACTTCAAAGAGGGAGGGGTCTGGGAAGTAGGGCAGCCTTGCTTCATTCGAGAGGCTCGCTTCCAAGAAAAACAGACCCCTCAGGACCCCAGAATGCATGCTCTTAGATCACAGGCAGCCGGCCTGGGTGGGAGGGTGGGAACCTCAGGGCCAAAAACGGAATGACAAAAGACTTGTATCCTCATTCCAAACACCCATGTAGTCCTCTGGAAGTGGACACCCAAGCCCCTTCAGGTAGATGGCCGAGCCTCACACCAGGGGGTGGATGGGACTCCCACCTCAGGCTGCTGGGAGAGTAAGGAGTGCCCCAGCTGTGACAGGCCGTGAGGGGGCGCCTAGGCCAGGGTAAAGGCCCCACTGAGGAGCAGGCGGGCCCATTGGGAAGGTAGGGAGGAAGTGTGGGAAGGATGGAGGTGGACAGGGTGGGCACCTAGGGACAGAGCTTTGTGCCAATAGGACAGGTAAGGGCTGCCTCCCACCTCCATGCCTGAGATGGCCACTGGGACCACCACCTCTGGGGCACATCAGGCCAGTGGTTGGCCAGAGACAGGCTGTACCCGTGGTTGGTAAACTCAAGCCTCGCAGATGAGAGAGCAGTGTTCTGTGACTGACTTCAGACCAGGGCTGTCCTTAACCACAAATGTGCATTCTTGCTCTCATCAGTCTGTCCATCCTGACAGCCAACGGCTGGGCTGTCAGATTAGATTCTGTGTTCTCAAGGTGATGTCCCTAGGGGGTGTACTAACATGCTTGGCTGCTAACCCTAAGGTTGCAGGCATGAGTCCACCCAGAGGGACCTTGGCAGAAAGGTCTGGCAATCAGCATAAGAAAAGCAGTCATTAAACCCCTGTGGAGCTGCGTTCTACTCGGACACACATGGGGGTTCACGGTAACTGGTACTAGTGGTCTCAGGTTGGATGCATCCGTGGAGCTGCCCGCACATTGTCTCCAGATGAAGTCTAGGGCACAGTAGGAAACTGGGCAGCACTTGGGGGTCACTGTATCGGCCACAGCACCGACTGCCCTCTGCCTCTAGTTTGGAGGTCAACAGCAGAGCCCCTCTTGAACTCTTAGGTGTGACCAATGCCATACTGAAAGCAAACACCCAGGACTTTTAAGAACAAATTCTGAGATGTAATTTTCAACTGTTAGTTATTCATTGTTGTCGTCAGTTATTTCTTTAGAGGCTGCCCCTACAGCTGGTGGAGCTGCTGGTGATGGCGGTGATGGTGTTGATAATGATGGTGGTGGTGGTCGTGGTGGTGTTGATGGTGCTAATGTTGTTGATGGTGGTAATGGTGTTGATGGTGATGGTGTTGATGGTGATGGTGGTGGTAGTGATGGTGGTAATGGTGATGGTGGTGATGATCGTGGTGATGGTGGTGGTGTTGATGGTAGTGGTGATGGTGTTGGTGGTGGTGGTGGTAATGGTGATAATGGTGATGGTGGTTGTGGTGGTGATGGTGGTGGTGTTGATAATGGTGGTGCTCGTGGTGGTGGTGGTGATGATGGTGGTGATGGTGGTGGTGATGGTGGTTGTGGTGGTGATGGTGGTGGTAGTGATGGTGGTAATGGTAATGGTGTTGGTGGTGATGCTCGTGGTGATGGTGGTGGTGTTGGTGGTGGTGTTGGTGGTGGTGATGGTGGTGGTGTTGGTGATGGTTTTGATAATGGTGGTGGTGATGGTGGTGGTGGTGATGGTTGTGGTGGTGATGGTGTTGATAATGGTGATGCTCATGGTGGTAGTGATGGTGGTGATGATGGTGGTGGTGTTGGTGATGGTGTTGATAATGGTGGTAGTGATGGTGGTGGTGGTGGTGGTGATGGTGGTGGTGGTGATGGTGTTGGTGGTGGTGATGGTGGTGGTGTTGGTAGTGGTAATGATGGTGGTAATGGTGATGGTGGTGATGCTCATGGTGATGGTGGTGGTGTTGATGGTGGTTGTGGTGATGGTGGTGATGGTGATGCTCATGGTGGTAGTGATGGTGGTGATGGTGATGGTGGTGATGCTCATGGTGATGGTGGTGGTGTTGATGGTGGTTGTGGTGGTGATGGTGTTGATAATGGTGATGCTCATGGTGGTAGTGATGGTGATGGTGGTGATGGTGGTGATGGTGGTGGTGGTGATGGTTGTGGTGGTGATGGTGTTGATAATGGTGATGCTCATGGTGGCAGTGATGGTGGTGTTGATGGTGGTGGTGATGCTCATGGTGATGGTGGTGGTGATGGTGGTGGTGGTGGTGGTAGTGATGGTGGTAATGGTGATGGTGGTGATGCTCATGGTGATGGTGGTGGTGTTGATGGTGGTTGTGG